TGCTGCAAGGCATGTGGAACTCACTTCTTGTGTCCAACATCTGAAACCTGTTATTTGATTTGGTGGCATTTAAGCATTTATCTTGTGCTATCTCGCTTGACTTCTGAGAGCAGCCCAGAGGAGTCATGGACAGCAATCTCATTGGAAGTCTGTGTTATCCAGACACGCAGATCCTTGAGACTCTTGGAACGCCTGACCTGTGCCAGCACTAAAGTTCTTAATCTGAATAATGCTTTAGGTAAAATTACGAGGTGCCTTCACTTACAAAAAGGAGGAACTTAAATAGTTGGAAGCTTCGTGTTTCATGCAGAACTCCCATCCCTTTGAAGCTATAACATGATAGGCACAATCAGTTCCTTTAACTCACAGTCTGTCCTTGGTGAAAGGTCCCATTCCTTGTGCCATTTCCTTCAGTAAAATACAAATGTTTAGTGAAGACAAGAGTTCCTATTTTTCATAACAGCTGACAGGTCGGTCTTTTCACATGAATTATCAGGTCAAGGGAAAGCTCAAATTGCCTTCCCTTCATAATGGGCAGGACTGATCAAGTAGAGGTGAAGTTAACAAAAATCATAGCAAATTTAGCAAAAACACAAGGAGAATTGTACTGCAATTTTTGAATTCCTTAGAAATTCATTAAATTTCTAAGGAATTACCTCACATTAAACACCTCTGTATTTTTCAGTAATATGAACACAAATCAGAATTAAATTACTTTGGGTTGGACTAAGGTATTAGTCAACACATAATGAATTTTATAGCAAAACCATGGGAATTTGGTATCAAATATTCTATCTTCAGTCTTACTTTACTGTATTGAAAATAAATTTATTGAAAATAAATTGTTAATTATTTAAATTAACATTTAAAGGTAAACCAAAGAGATGCTGTATTTCCATTATATAAACTACTTAATGCGCTTTTCCCCAATTGTTAAATTTATACAATCTCTTTTTAATAATTAATGTAAATTAATTGTTATTTTCTATTTATATAAGGACATTTATGCTGCAGATATTCTTCTGGTTAATGACAAGCATGAAAAAACTTTTAAAAATAACAAAGAAATGTGGTGCTTTGCTATTTTAAAAACCCTCTTTGGTAAACTTTAGTCAAAGAATAAACTACTGCAGGGCTGAAAATGTGCACTTTGGTTAGTTGTGTTTAGAATTTGGATGACTATTACTTTTGGCAATTAAACAAGAACAAAGCTGAAAGAAAATATGAAAATCAGCACTGTACTAACTTGAACAAAGTTCAGTGACTACTAAAAAAAACCAAAAATATCCCAGGGATGTGACAGGAATTTCAATGAAGAAGTCACATAGTAACAGTGTTTGAAAAAGCCATTAAGGGAAACAAAAAACAAACCTCACTAGTTTTGGATCTGTTTGCTTTTAATTAATAAAGAAAATTTTACCTAAAATACTTGATGAATATAGCACACTGGTCAAAATAAGGAAATCTAAACCTGGGTCAGGTTGACCTGTGTCTTCCAGTTAACACAAAACAGACCTCACTTTGACTTCACCTGAGTCAATAAGGATGCCACCACCGCTTATTTTTATCAAAATATTGGAGGATATTAAAAAGGAAGAAATTAAGAAGGAATTAAGAAGACCTTGAAGGAAAGCATCGGCTCTGATGAATCATTACTACTAGGAAATTGGTAGAATTTATTTATAGAGCAATGACCCAATGCCTTCTTTTCATGGTTTATCTTCAACAGCTCCTAAACACAGTGGAACAGTGGAAGGGAAAGTTGTGCAAGAAAGCTCAGGCATAGAGCAACATAAAAAATGAATAATTTGAAGCTGTGGGGAGGCAGGAATAAAACAGATTCCATAAGAAGAGAGGCATGGAACATGACTCGTTTAAATGAGCTTCTTTTCAACAGGAAAACAAGTAATGAGTAAAACTAGCTGAACAGATGGAAAAGTAAAGTATAACTAGACACAGCTTTTGCAGGTGATAGCAGATCATTATGTCAAATCCTGCTTTGGTCAAGCAGCTGTGCAACAATGCATTTTCTAGAGTCCAACTGGCAGAACAGCCTATGAAATTCATAGTGGCTTAGTAGTATAATTTGCTTCACATCAGAATCATAGTTGGCATTAATATAAACAGCAGCTTGCTGAACTACAACTCTACAAATAGGTTTCAGGCTGGAGGATATTATTTTAGCATCCAGTATACAGAAGCAAATAGAATGATTTAGAGCTGTTGCCCTTGAACTAACTTCCCAAATGGGACACAAAACAATATTATTGCAGAAATTATTGAAATTTTCATTGAAACTGGAGACCCTAATTTCAAAACCAAGCAGCTGTGTAATGCCAATGACAACACATCTGTGTGGATATCGGATCACTACTGTTTTTAACTGTGCAAAATTACTGGTTGGTCTAAAGATTCTAAAACAGATGGAACAATCCCTTCTTTGTTAATTACCAGTCAATCTCTGTTTATTCTGTGAATAAATGTTAATAGTAAGGCCTACAGTGAAATCAGATGACATTCAAATGGGGATTTTCAAACCTGGAGATTTGGTTTTGTAAACAATTTGATGTTCTGTCATAAACCATGACAGATGATCCTAGAAACAGTTCATGGCTGTGCTGTCAGCCACATCAGTCAGTTATTACTGAAATGCTGTCCTCCCTTTAAACGTTCCAGTCATCTAACAGTGACACTTTGAGAGTCTGTAAAGCAAACATGGATTATATGGTATGTTAGAAAGGAGTCAAGGCTGACTGTCAACAGAAAAGCAATCTTCACAAATTAAAAAGCTGGTTCAGGTTTTGTTTCCTGCACTTAATGTTGGCCTGTCAAGGATAGGGATCCTCCTGGTTTGTGCTTTTTAAGCAGAATAAGAATACAAGATGGCTTATGAGAGCAGTCATGGCAGTCACTGTAATAAAGACACTATACATGACTTTTTGAACTCATTTGAGGAAATAGATAAATGGAATAAAACCAAAATGTGTGTTTGGTCTGTAGCATAAATTGTCTCAGGGAATTCCCAGTTTTCAAGTCCCCATCAGCACTATAAAATGTAAACTGAAGATAAATCTTTTAAGTCTTTTAAGTTCAGAAAACAGTTTGGGTTTTCTTTGCTGTCCAACTCTCCTCAGTATCACCCTCACATATGTAGTATCAAACCATAGCATTCAAGAAACCTGAGACCACCAAAAGATCTAAGAAAGCTCCTAAAATTCCCAGTTACTTGACTTCAAGACAAAAAAATTTAGCTGTAGCTCTCCTGAGGTACCAGTAGAAATTATGTCCCATGAGATTTCATTTCTGTAACTAGGGATTTCTTTCCTAGTTCTTTCCCTGGTAGGAACTATTTTGCTGCCTGGGCAGTCAGCCAAACATTGTAGCTGCAGAAGAAATCTTTCTTGATTTACTTCTACAGACCTTCATGACTATTCTTAGAAATGGCAAGCTGCTTTATTAGCCTTCTGAATTATTAAAAGTTCTCAAGTTAATTCCTTGTTATTAATATTTTGACTTTGTTTTATGTTTGCATCTGGCTGCAGATAATTCTTACAGGTACTTGTCTAGTACCTCCTTTATGCGTTGCAGTGGATGTATTTTATCTTGGATAAATACATTATGCATAATTGTTCTCTTTCTCAAATTGATGGGGCTCAACTTTTTCAAAAGCAGAATGAAGATCAAGGTTCTAGTTTCCAGTTTTTTAAGCCTGTTAATTCTTTGATTCCTTACCAGTTCTTGTACTCCCCTGGCACAGGTCCTATCATAGGGGCACTTTCCATCTTATCAGTCTCTGAAGACTGCCTAACCCTCATCCTTTCCTTTCCTTCCCTTTTCTTCCATTGTTTTCTTGCTTCTCTCTTATCCTGAATTCTCACCAATCTCCTCACGCCTCCCCATTGCCATTATTTGTGCTGACATGTCCTTGCTTTCTTGTAGCCTTTTACATACCCTTGCTTTATCAGATGAATATATTGGGCAGAATATGAAAACAGCCATGTCACAAATTGCAGCAGAAACTAAGTGACCAAATGACAAACAAAACCTGTCTCCAGATCCTCTGGGCTCATCTTCACTAATAGTTTGAAGAATGTCTGATGAGGATTTCTATTAACACATACAAGGCATTATAAGCTTACCCAAGTGTGAGAAGAAACACGAATGAACAGGTAACACATAAGACATTTTGAACAGATTTAGAACAAGTGATCTAAGCCCATATTTTTAAAATAACTAAGCTCTGTGCATAACTTCTGAATAGCAGTCACATATTTAAACAGAAATAACACAACTTGAGGCAAATGCTGCTGGCATGACTCTGGGGCTGCAAGAGGAGGGTGTTCCTTTACATGTCCCTGCAGAAAGTCCCCTGACAAGCGGAATGAGCGGCCAGGCTTTGGAGACACAAAGGAAACACAAGTTCCAGCCTACAAAGGAACAGGGGGGGAACACCACCGTGTACCACAGTCTGGCCGAGCGTATGGGTGGGGGATTTATTGCAGCAAAGGCTGCAGAACTATGCTAGGCCATCGAAAAACTTTTAATAGACGTCAAAAAAGACCATCCCGATTCCCTAAAACAAAGTTAATGGGGTTGGTTGGTTGGTTTGGTTTTTTGTTTGTTTGAATTTGTATTTGAAACATTTCTCGGTGAATGCTGGATTATGACAACTTTTCGTAGAGCTGACCCTAAATGCTCAGTGATTTAATTGTCCCAGAGATTTAAATGCCTCAGAGTTGCCCAGAGAGGTGTAATAGTCAACCAAATTCTATTCAGCCTGGAGAAGAGGCTGAAGGGAGACCCTATAGCAACTTCCAGTATCCTAAGGGGCTCCAGGAGAGCCGGTGAGGGACTTTCTACGAGGACATGGAGAAACAGGACAAGAGGGAACGGCTTCCTGCTGGAGCCAGGCCGGTTCTGCTCAGATAAGGAAGGAATCCTGCTCTGAGGCGGGAGGGCGGGGATCGCCCCTCCCAGCCCCTCCCCGGCCTCCCCGGCGCATGCGCGGTGCCCTCACCGGAAGGCCGGCGGCGCGGCAAACCGCCCGTTTTCCCGGCGGCGGGCCGTGCGCACGCGCGGAGGCGGCGAGGCCGGCCGGCCAGGCCGCGAGAGCGGTGGCCGGCCCAATGGAGCGCCTGGTAGACGCGGCGCGCGATGACCTTGCGCGCTTCTTCAGACTTCAACGGCCGCAGGTGAGGGGCGGCGGGGCCGGCCGGCCCGGCGGGGTCAGCCGGGCCAGCCCGGCTGGGAGAGGCGCTCGGTGGCGGGACCCTCAAGACGTCCGAGCGGAAGGCGCGGGCTCGGCGGCGCTATCGCAGCCGCGGGCTCGGGCGGGCGCCGGGAACACGCCGTTCCGGTTTCTTCACGGGATCAGCCAGGGTTGGAAGAGAACCTCTGAGGATCCTGGAGTCACAGCCGCTCGCCGGCGCGCGCGGGGTCGGTGTATGCTCCGGCTGCTCCTCACGCTGGTTCCCAGCCCGATTTCCAGTCTTCTTTTTTTTGTTTATTGTGTAACTTTCTTAAATGATTCCAAGGCTCGTTGTGGTGTTTGAGTGCTCGCCGTGGTGCTCTGGGGTGCGGAGCTGCCCCACGCCCCCCCCTCAAGGCTCGGGTGTTGTCGCAGGTTGAGCAGTCTGGGATGGACAGGGAGCATCCCAGGGGGCAAGTCTGCATCCCGGCTCTCCTAAAATTATCAAGTCACTGCTGCCTGGGATTCTGGCTGGCTCGCCAAGCGAGTACTCACACATGAAACTGTTAAACTGAGAGAATGAGTTGAATTTTTTGCTGTTACCGGGTATTTTTAAGACCACGGAATAAAGCTGTCCAAGTAACTTGTGCAAGGTGGCTTGAGATGCTGAGAGTCCTGGAAAAGCCTTGCATGTGAAAGAGGCTTTACATGATGGCAGTTACAGCGAGCTGTGTTCAGTCGGTTGTTCAGACAAACAAAAGGGTAACCAGCGCTCCGGGAAACGCATTGTTGCAGAGGCTGAAGTAAACAATTGAAATATGTGTGGTTGGAAGTAATGGAAAAGTAGGAGCAGAAGTCCCAGAAGCTTTATGAAGTTTTGTTACAAGAGCGATGCTTGCAGCTTATTTGGGTGCTGAGTGGTGAATGAGCAAGCTGAATGTTGCACTTCTGCAGAAATCTTCATCTCGAGTGTTTTGATGCTGCTGGAACACTCGGGAAGCAGTGGTGCTTTACCACATGGCTCTTTACTGCTGTATTTATTAAGGAGCCAGGGAAGATACAAATTACACGAATATTGAATATTAAAGGATAACTAGCTGAGGAAGCTGAGACATCTCTCTGTTGCTGTGAAGAGTGACTGGTTTATATCATCCCATCCCGAGGTAGCTTTATCAAGCATGTGAGGAAATGCTGACATAATAAATCTGCTTTTCCTTATGAAGAGGCAAATGAGACACTTGTCCTGAGTAGAGACAAAACAGCTTGGTATGTAAGGGTAGCAATGCTGTTCTGAGAAATGCTGTGTTATTTGATGAGAATGGGAAGTGGATAGTTGGAGTTGTGCTGGTGGAGAGAAGGTTGTATCCCTGACTGGCTGCTTTACTCCATTCCTTAGGTTATCCATGTTTTAAAATACATATAATTACTTCACTAAAGTGGTGTTGAAGCCTAATTATGTTTTTTATAAGGCAGTCTGTGAGCTTTTGGTGAATGGGTGGGTTACTTTTCCCTTCCTGTCTGGTGAGGAAATTGCCTATTATGTAATTATTTTGTTTCATGTTTGATGGTGAAATCAATTGCTGTGCCACTGCTCAAGTATTCCAGATACATTTATTCATTCTTAAATTGACTAAATCATAAAATATGTCAATATAGCTACTTAAAACTCATAAGCACCATCATCAGTATTCCAGTTAGAAACATCAGTCTGCAATCAATAACTTTTAACAAAGTTTAACCTGTTGTTTTTTTCCATAGTGTTGCTTTTCTAACTGAATGTAAATATTAAGAAAAAAAATATCTGGAGTCTGCCCTATTACAGTTTGTAGTAGCTTATAACCTCTAGTTAAAAGCGGTGAGGATAAAATTTCATAAATTACGTAATTTAGTTTTTGATGTTCGAAACCATGTTATTTGATTCGTGGGACAGAACACATTGTCTACAAACATGTACAGCTGGTATATTTCTGAGCCTCGAATAATACAGTTCCTGACTGGATCCTTGTGGGAGGGAACTATTTATAGCTGTCCATTCATTGAGATTGTCATGCAAGAATGCTTTTGATGCATTCCCTTGAAGCAATGGTTTTATAAGTGAAAGAGGTGCTATATTTATAATGAAATACTGGATTCCTTGCAAAGAAGTTTGACACACGTTTTCTGTTAGGAAGTATCCCAGTTAAATTTCAGCTATGACTGATTTTGTTCTTACAAAGTTCATGGGAAGTTGCCTGCCGTGATTTCTGACTCCTTTTTTTTTTGTTTGCTTGTTTTATTTAATAGCAAATTCCTTATTTATGCCTGCCTGCTGCTCTTCTCTGTGTTGCTGTCTCTACGTCTGGATGACAAGATTCAGTGGAGTTACTGGGCTGTGTTTGCTCCGATATGGCTGTGGAAGTTGATGGTGATTGTTGGTGCCTCGGTGGGAACAGGAGTATGGGCTCGGAACCCGCAGTACCGGTAAGTTGAGGATGTTTATTTGGCAGAACAGAGGGAATAGGATGTATGCTCTGTACTGAATTCAGTTCATAAATGGGTTTTTTAACAGCATAAGAGCATCTAGAACATTTGTTTCCAACATTTTAAAAATAATTATCATCAACTTACCAAGTGTCTTGGAATGTTTGCAAAATAGCGTGTTTTCTTTTTGGCAAGTAAATTGAATGCTTCCTTATCCTCTCTTCAGAGCAGAAGGAGAAACCTGTGTGGAGTTCAAAGCTATGTTAATTGCAGTAGGCATCCACCTGCTACTGCTGATGTTTGAAGTCCTGGTGTGTGACAGGATCGAAAGAGGAACCCATTTCTGGCTTCTGGTCTTCATGCCCTTGTTCTTTGTGTCTCCGGTGTCCGTCGCAGCGTGTGTGTGGGGATTCCGACACGACAGGTCCCTGGAGGTGAGGCTTCATTTGTGCTGTGTAAAACTCGTGGCAGTGCAGGACCAATTCAGTGACAGTTTGACTCTCAAGAAAGTGTGATATGGAGGACTGCATCAATCCAATTAATTGTTTGCACTCACCTGCAAGTGTGAATGAAAGTCATGATCAGGAATAATATAACTTTTTCTAGTGTCTTCTAATTATTTTCAACTACCAAATTGCAGCATGTGTTGAACCTGCTTTTTTATTATTGTATGTTAAAAGAACTCACCAGGAACTCTGCAATACGGACTAACACTGGACATTTACATGAAAACAACTGAAAACAATTCCACTGATAGCAAGCCCAGTCCCTAGGCAGAACTGAACTTCCAGAGCTCTTGGTAGTCAGGGCTGAAAATGTCTTAATATCCCAATCTCTGTGTTTAATCTTTAATTTGGGGGTGTGGATGGTAGGCATAAAACAGTAAGGTTTTGCTTTCTGCCTCTATCTTCTTTAACTCCTTTTGGTTTTGGAAGGATTCTCAAGATATTCTCACGGTTCTGGTGTTTTGCAATGAACTTAGAATTCTTCCTGAATTTATTTTGTTTAAGGAATTTTTTGTTTTGCTATGTCCTTGAACTACCCCATTAAAATCTGATTTTTAGATGAGGTTCAGCTTTTTAAGGTATTTTAATTTTAAGGGACTGTTTCTCTAACAGTAGCCTAGGGTGAGTTTATCACTAGAGAGAGAGAAACATTTATAGTAAGTGATTGTTAGGATGGCTGGTAAACTGATATTTTAAGTTGCTCATTTTAAAACAGTTGGCTATAGAATTTTATTTTGCAGGATTCTATTCACAGTTAACCATTCCTAAAAGTAAAATTTGTGTAGAAGTACTTGCCTTCTACTGGATGATGCTTGATTGCCCATTGATTTACAGATGACTGCACAGCTGCTAAGTACTGGCAGAAGAAAGTGGAATCCATAAAAGGCAACAGCTGTCTCTACTCATTTTTATAATTTTTTTTTTTTAGTCTTTTATCATCTTCAGTTAGTGCTGTTCTACTTTCTTTTCTTTTTATTCCATGAAGATTTCATTATTTCCCTTTGATTTGCTAGAAACATAAGAGGGGCCTGTCTTTAATCCAGGACATTAATTTTTGACATGAGTAATTAAAGTAGTTGTTAATTTATTATTATTTTCAGAAGTATTTAATCTGAAATATTGCCTGCTCATTGCAGTGATGGAGTCAGAGAAGTCCTTTGACTTGGTTATCTTGGTAATAGCTTTATCGTGCTAAGAGCTAACTAATGTTTTTTCTTTTTCTAGCTGGAAATCTTGTGTTCAGTCAATATTCTACAGTTCATATTTATTGCACTCAGACTAGACGATATCATCAGATGGCCATGGCTTGTACGTAACAAGTGTTTTCTTCTTATCTTTGTTTAAATGCTGAATTTCATAAAGATATTTACTCTAGGGAACAGTTAATATGTGGTTAGTCCATGATAACATTCTTGCTTGCTTAGCAATCCTCCACTGAAGGTCTGGCATTTCATTCAGTGGTAATTGGAGGCTGTTCTTTGGGCATTTCACCCTCTGAGGGAGAGGAATGTGCCACCAACTGCAGTTAATCCCTGAGCAGTGGTTGAAAGAGAAATCTTAACCAAAGTTTCCAATGGGAACAGTAAACTAGCCATGAAAATGATTGGTGAGTTAGACAATGTGTTGGTAAATATGGTGTGGTAAATAATTAGTTTTATTTGTTGTGTTACCATGCGTGTAAGTGCCCATGGTAACAGATATCCTGTCCCAAATGCCTTTAGAATACAAAAGTGCTCTTTCTATGTCTGGATTTTTGCAAACTGCCATAAAACTGACAATCTGGCGTGGTTATGTCTGTCCTTTCTCTTTTCCTAAAATTTTGAGAAAGGATTGAAACCCTTCCAAATAAGGTCTCCACTGTAGGAAATACTTGCTAAAATCAATTTCAAGTACAATTTGAGCCCACGTAAATTCATGGATGTCTTACTAAAGTTGAACTGCATTGACCTAATTTTAAATTGTTTCATCTTCATGGTGTTTAAAAAGCTGGGGAACCTCAGAGAGCTGATATGGCTCTTAACAGCATGCTTGAATTGATGCTCTCCTGTTAGAGATTATATTAGTTAAAGACTTAAATTTCTTTTTCTTGTTTAGACTTAATATGTAGACATGCTTCATTTAAAAGAACCACACCTGAAACAAATCAAATCTCTCTCTCCCTCAGGTTGTTTGTGTTCCACTGTGGATCTTGATGTCCTTCCTGTGCCTGGTAGTGCTCTATTACATTGTGTGGTCTGTTCTGTTCCTGCGCTCTATGGATGTGATTGCTGAGCAGAGGAGGACACACATCACGATGGCTGTCAGCTGGATGACAATTGTGGTTCCACTGCTCACATTTGAGGTTGGAAAAGCATAATGAGTTTGTGTCTTGTTCTTTTTTTCAGGGAGTGATGAATACTGGGTTTTTTAACTTACTGAAATGAGAGTACTGCTTTTTGTTTTGGAATAAAATATTAACAGCAAATGTGTTCTTTAAAGTTTTTTTTAGTAAAATCTGCATTGCATTGGAACTGTAACTACATGCTTCTGTGGAGACCATTTTTCCCCCACAGATGTGTGAAGTTAAAGATCTGAAATCAGCCTATGCTTTAAGCAGTTTGAAAGTGAGTATTGCAATTAAACTGACACTATATTTTTTTTTCCATTTAGATCTTGCTAGTACACAGACTGGATGGACATAATTCTTTTTCCTTCATACCCATATTTGTTCCTCTCTGGCTTTCACTGATAACATTAATGGCAACAACATTTGGGCAGAAAGGTGGAAATCACTGTAAGTATTTTCAAAATCCTGGAAACAGATCGAAAATCAATGCTAAAATGTATTTTATTAAGATTTGTATTTTGAAAAAGGGCTTTTCTATGTATATTCTCATGAAAGAATTCATATATTTGTTAGACTGTTGTTTTCAGGTGACCGCAGTAAGTTTTCTGTGCTTACAGTGTCATCCCATGTGGCACTACTTGCTTTGGTTGAGATGCAAAGTCCTTTGTGTTCTTTCTCTGTACTGATGTGACCTGACACTGTGTAACGTGTGAAATGAAATGGATTCTTGCTGTGGTAGTATAATTGTAATTTATAGAGATGGATATACACACAGGCACGTGCGTGCAAATGCATGTCCCTATTCTGGATGTATATCTATGTGTATGTAACCTGAACTGCAGGGGTAAGAAACACTGAGAAGCAGCACTAACAAATTTTATATTATTCACATGCAAACAATCAAGAGAACTTAAATGAGATTGCATAGTCTGCCTGCTTAATTATGTGTTCATTCTGTTCTGCAGTAACATGAAATAATTTTCCCTTTTTCTTTAGGGTGGTTTGGAATTCGCAAAGACTTTTGCCAGTTCCTACTTGAAATTTTCCCATTCCTACGAGAATATGGAAATATTTCTTATGATCTTCATCATGAAGATAATGAAGAAACAGAAGAAACACCACTGCCTGAACCGCCAAAAATTGCACCAATGTTTCGAAAAAAGACTGGAGTGGTCATTACACAGAGTCCTGGAAAATATGTGATTCCACCTCCCAAGTTAAACATTGATATGCCAGATTAAGATGACAGTAGCAAATTAAACTTGAACTGGTCATCAGCAGACAAATGTATTTCATCTCATGCCTTGTCCAAATTCCTTTAAAATAGGTATTGCTGAATCAGTGGCTTGGATTACACGAATCAGAGATCTCGAAGATAATCTGAGAGCTTTTCCAGAGGATTGTGGTTGTCTAATTTGTGAACCTTCCTAACGGGTTGGTTGCACGCTTGCCTGTATAGTATTTATATGAACATTTTTAGCAGTGTAATATATTGTTTAAAAGTCTTGTTGTGTACAGTATAAGTATTATCTAAAAGTATTTTTTTAAAAACCCTGTATGAAATGCCTATGCTATTCCAGGTGTCTTTTAGGTCCTAAATATACACTTGATTTTTTGTGTCTCTTTTAAATGCTTTGGGGATGCCTTAGCATAGTACCTCTTTACTGCTTTTTCTGTTCAGCCACAATCATTGTCTCAACCACAGAGGCACAAGAGTGTTGCTCTTCTCATGCAACACTGGAAAGCTTTTTTGGGGGGGAGAAGTAGAATATATGGCAACTTACATGATGCTTTTGAGTTAGCCATGTAAATTTTCATGTAAGTATTTCAACTTTTGCACTGTCTTGGGAGTCACATGTTGCTTTTGTTGTTTTACCAGTTTCACATTTTGATACTTCCTGAGCAGCATGTACACCATTCTCCCACTAGACTGGCTGTTTAATAAGCTGTTCCCCATTGCATTGTGTGCAGTCTGTGCCAGAAACGTTTGTTGTAGGTCTCACAGCTGTTGGTTAGGTATAAATATCATAGCTTGGTCTTTGTTACCAACTTTGTGTTGGTTGGTGTAAATGATTAAACTTTTCAAGACAGGAACTCACTGGTGTTGCTATAGCATTTTCTTGTCTGAAGAAAGGCCTGCTTTGACAGCATCTTGGACTTACAGGTGCTTTGGAGAAACTGAGTCTATGAAATCTGTAGTCCTGTAGCTTACAAAAATGGATGTCTGGTATTCCCAGATCCTTGCAGCTGCTCTCTGTGTTTAAGTAACCCCCAGTTTTGGTAGTTTAAATACCATAGGTTATGTTTCCTTAGTGTTAGCATGGCAATAAGAGAAGGGAGTGTATGGACATTTCTGCATGTGTGCAAAGTGCACACCTGTAAAACTTGGATATGGTGCTTCCATTCTTGATGCTGCAGAGCTCCCTCTCCTTGCCTGTGGAGCAGCTACTGGCTGAAACCCAGCCCAGCACTGTCCTATCCCATACCTTATTTTGTTGCAGTTTCATTTGTTTTGTGGCTCGAGTAAAAAAAAATCTGTAAATGAAGACCAACAAGTGGTATTTAACATTTGCTGCTGCTGTTTCATGTCACTGGGACACTGGATGCTGCTCTGATGTCCCAGCAGCACAGCATGGGTGTCCTAGTGATGACTGAGAACTTTCCCTTGGGATTCTCAGTCAAGCTGGTCACTTCCTTTCAGCTGGCTGTCTGCAGGGCCATCTGGCTGCTGAGGTAAATGGCTTCAACTGAAAAATTTGCTCAAACCAAGAAAAAAGAATTCAAAATGGAGCTTTCCTCATTGGAAACTTCATGTGATTCTGGCCAATGGATTTGAGTCAAGCTTGACTTCATCCAGCATGTGACAAAAGAACAGCTAGTGACTCTGCCTTTGGATCTCCAATAGAAGGAAAGTCTCTACAAACCAACTGAGCAACACTGGTGAAGAAAAGAGCACCTGAATTCACCTGAGGAGAGCTCTAGCCAAAGCAATGCCTCCACATTCCTCAGCTTTCCAAAGCAGCTCTGGGATGGTGTTGAGAGCAATTGGTTTGAGTCCCTTTGGTGGGGTGACAAGGGGAAGTGTGTAGTGATTCATTGAAGAATAGTGTAAAGAAAGGTGGTGCAATGAGGTGCCAGCAGGAGGAACAGCTAGGGAGGTACGTTGGGTCCTCTATGTGCAAACTAACTCAGAATATTCTGATGGGACAGATTGTTGTTCCAATGAAATAAGCCTTTACTACATGGGAGATGAGCATGGCAGTAAACCTTCTGTCATTTGTTTCTCTACTCCTGAGGTACCATTTCTGAGTAACAGAAATGCTGATAGAATATACATTGGTTATTTCCAAGTACTTTAAACACATAAAATGAAAAGAATATTCTCAATGGGATTTTTTAAAGTTTTCTATGAGTCTTGCTGTACCCGATGTGCAGTTTTCTTGTGGCTGAGAAGGTATGTGTCAGCATCATATCATTCCATGCTAAAGTGGCTGACAATGGTGGTTGGGTTTCTAGATCAGTTTGTATGTTTTTGAAAGATTACTGGTATTTTTCATCTTAAATGAGAGAAAGAAATGTAATACTGGCTTCATTTCATTTTTAACAAGCACCTTCTTTCTCATAATGGCCTTCCTACAACTTCTGTCAGGTCACAGAGCTGTATCCTTCAGATGTGTATCTTGTTGTACTTCCCTGTGAGTGAAAACAATCTATCCTTAAAGTAGGATTAGGAGTGAGCTGTGAGACAGATACCCTATTAATGATGGCAGCCTGCTTTTAAGCACTATTTTCCTATAATCAGAGATGTAAGCATCATATAATACGGTTTTATTTGCTCACATTTTAAATTGGCACACAATACAAAATGATGTGTTAAAAAAAAGGCATTTACTTAGTTGTTTACATAGGAAAATCTAGAAAAGAACAATAATTTCCAGTAATAGTCATAAAAATCACATCTTGCTTGTTTTGCCTTAAAAGAGCAGTTCTTCAAATGTATTTGCCATTTTAGTTTTGGAAGGGAATCTTAAACAAGATGCTGACTTGTGAATTACAAGTTTGTTTTTAGGCAGGAAAAACAGTAGTAAGGGGCAACACCTACACTTCTGAAGGGATCAGTTCTTCAGGGATGTCCACCTGCCACACACCTGTTCTCCCTCTGGCAGGAATTGGTTCCAGGAGCCATCTCGGATTTGAAACAACAGTCAGGTATTTCTGTTCTAGATTACTGAGGACAGCTTTGTTTTCCAGCTCCAGAATCTCTTCAGGAGGCAGGTTTTCTGGATAGAGTGATGTTTCTCCAACGTCAATTAATCCTGTATTGTAAAATTAAAATACAAAATTAGTTGCCTGTTTGATCTTTAAGAGAAAAGTTTTCCAGAAGTTACCCTCTCTGAGGACACACAGAACAGCCACTTTGTTACCAGAGGCACACAGTCAGAGGGATGCACACCTCCAGCCTGTGCCTTTTGCTGCAGTAGATGGACCAGGTGACTGACCTCAGATGGGTGAAGAACAGGAGAAGGACCTAGTTATAATCACCACAACTCAGTGATAGAGAATTCTGTGAAAAGCAGCCTGCAGCTAAGGAGATACACCTGCTACCAAAACTCCTGAGCTACATTTGGCCTTGAAACAGATTCATTAAAGCATAAAAAAAACTCTCTGCCCCTCTCAGGACACTATTCTATTAACATTTTAAAATCATTAAACTATATGGAAATTCCTGCTGTCTGGAAACCTTTTCATGTCACAAAAGGGAATTTCTATATTGCTTAGTGATTAAAAATGTTAAATAAAGATCAAAGAAGCTTTGATACCTATTCCACAACTGAGTGTGCAATTTATGCCAAGGCTCCAAATCTGCATATAATGTAGGACCTACAGTTTTCAGCACCGAAGAACCACAACAATTTTTCAGTGTGATAGAAGTAATCTGTTGTACCAGAATAGCTACAAATATTCAAATGACAATGAAAGATAGATGGTTTAACAAATATAACTACACAGAAACGGTGCAAAATGACTGCTGGATAAAAACTTTGTAAGTGGACAGTGCAGCAACATCCACTGTATGTCAGCACAATGTACACAATGAAACATGACTCCATCCTGACTGTGTTACAGAAACAAACTTCTTCACTGCCCAAACACTGCGTGTCAGTAAAACTGAAATAGGATTTATGTAATTACTTATGTAATACTTTAAAATGACATGTAAAGCGCTGCAGTGTCATGACTTCACTTGACCATGAGTATTGCAAGAGTTCCTCAGCTCAAAATGCAAAAAGTGTGGAATTGACATTTATTATCTTGAAACAACGTGCAACCTATGTTGTCTTACTGCATGAGGAGTTAGCACAAATCCATTTATTTCTTGTACTGACTTCGTAGCCTGAAGTTTTAAGTAGAGTGTTTTTAGAAGACAGAGGCCTAACTAAAATTCTTCAACCTAAAGGTCAAAAATACCTCACATTTCCAACACAATGAAATAGTACAAATTTTACTGACAACTTCCCTTGCTGTACTCAGCCTACAGGAATTGAAATAGACCCCCCCACCTATCACAATTCAGGCTCCACTCCTTCAGAGTGCTAAAAAAATGTCATAATGAGCACAACCACGTGAAGCACATGTGTATTTGAATGTTAACAAACTGAAAGCTTGCTTGGAAAATAAAATCTCAGGTTGCTTACCTGCAATAACTCCTCTGCCGAATTTTTCCCCTTCATCCAACAAATCTTGCACTTGTTTTGGTGTCATACCAAACCTATTCAAAAGAATGTCTCTCCATGATTCATCTTCCCAGTCCTTAACAGCGATATGAATAGCAATGGTGCAGTTCTTGTAGCCTGCTAGCAAGGGACGCCAGCGAGTCTCCACTGTTTTGATCTGGTTCAGAAGCAACCCCGCGTAGGGCTGTCGGAAGGAAAGGCACCCGAATTTCATCGCGTTGCCCGCATCAGAGCCCGTTTATTTCCTGTAAACACACCGACAGCCGGAGATGAGTCCCCACGAGCGGCCGCAGCCCGTGACGAGCTCCCGGCCCGGAGCTGCGCGGCCTCCCCGGGGCGGGTCCGCACCGCGGGCCGCGCTCTGCCCGCGCCCTGCCCGCGCGCCCGAACCCGAACCCCGAGCAACGGCCCCGGCACGCCCCGGCACCGCGGCGGGAGCTGCCGAGCCCCACGCCCGGCCCGGCCCGGCCCCGCCGCCTTCCCGCGGGGAGCGCTCGACCCGCCGCACGGCCATGGAGGCCCCGGGGCCGCCGCTTACCTGAGGCAGCGGCCTCCCCGCCCTCCGCTGCGCTCGCCGGGGCCGCGGCGGGACGGTGGGTGCGGGCGGGCGGGGCGGGCGGGCGGGAGGCGGTGGCGGCCCCGGGCGGGTTGCCGGGCCCGGCGGGGCCTGCGGCGTCCCGCCGGGGCACCGCGTGTTGCCCGGTCCCTGCGGGCTCTCGGCCGTCCCTGGAGGCCGGGTGGGGTCACGGGCCGGCCGCTTTCCTCCCCGCTTTCTGTAGCCACTGGTTGGTTTGGGAGAGAATTTTCCCAAGTGCTCTCATCCGGCCCTGCTGCTTGAGGAGCATCTCGTCTGTGTCCTGTGGCTGTTCAGTTGTGTGTTCGGCATCAAGGCTTTGCCTTTCTAATACAAATATTTTGAGCAACGAGGCTTCTTACTGACAACAGGTTTTGTCTGTGCCGGTCCCGTTGTGGAGCGATGTGTGAAGGCCTAGTGAGCACAGTAAAAACCAGAGACCTTACAGTAAAGGATAATTTGGATATATAGGGAGTTAAAATAGATTTGCTATCCTCTGTGTGCTCAGTTTTAATGGGCAAACAATATATATATTCTATGTCAGTAAACACGTGTTTTTACAAAGTCAGTTTCCAGTGTATATAAATAAAAGTGACCTCATTCAGGCAGACACTAATACTGACAATGGCTGCTGATGCAACAAGTTGAAGAGTTGAGTCCTGCTTGAATTTCTGCAGGTATGGAAGATAAAAAAAACCCCAGATATATCTGTATCGAAATAGAAATCACAGGAGATGCCATCTTTCCTGGAGAGCCATATATAACAGCTCAGGGCTATAAATGTGAGAAGTACTTGGGGAGCTTTTCTACGCATGCAGCATCTGCAAGTAAGAAAGCAGGGAGGGGAGAACATTGACCTAAAGGAGTGAGTTTGCAGTAGAAGTTAGGAGAGACAGGCAAGAGGAAAAAAAGAGGAAAACTAGGAGAGAAGGAAAAGAAAAAATGGTAGTATTTACAAAGGGATGGGTGATGATGACCTTTGTTTTGTCCTTTGCTCTGTTGAACCACATTTTTCAACCATGAGAAATCTCAAAATTACTTTAACAGGAACTCAGAGATGGAAAGACAAAAGTGACGTGCTGGAATTCCACTGGGAGAGAGGTGGCCTGTTCCTTTAAGAAGGGCAGAGAAACTTCATACAGCAAAAGGTAAGATTAATGATGTTTTTTGTCCAGATCTGTGACATTGTGAATAACAGGTATTTTATAACTGCAGGGTTAGATGATTCTTTTCTGATGATAAGTCCTTCACATTGCTTTTCTGAGAGCCAGTTTTGGTGTACACTTTAAGTATACATTCAGTGAATGTTTTGTGTTCTGAAGTGTTTTATGGCTGATAGACTTTAACTGTTGAGACATAGTTTTTCTTATTACCATTTTCTGAAATTTCTGCTTCATTATCCCTTTTTCCCCTGAATAATTCCAATATTTTGTTCAAAATGTTCCAAATGGAGTAATTCCAGTCCTTTATATAACGCCATAATAAGCAGATAAATTAATAGATGACGTGAATTTGAAGTCACTGTAGCTTTTACAGGGTTATTATTTTGAATGGGGTTTTTTTTGGCTTTAAGCTATTTCCATCTTACTAGATGTTCATGATTAGTTGAAGAACCTGTTGAATTTGTTTAGAGTTGCAAGTAAGTAATAAGCTTTCATGGGGGTTTTGGTATTTGCTTTGGGTATTTTTCCACTATATAATTCTAGTTTATGTGAGGTTTATGTATTTTGGGGAAAATATAGGCCAAAATGTTTTCATGTTGTATAAGTAGCTTTGTTTTATACTCATGTAACTTACAGCAGGATTTTGTATCGTGTTTCATCACATAAATAAAATAGATTTTTTTTCTTGATTTAAGGAAAAATCTCCAAGGTACTTAAAATCTTAAATCTGAGAGTTCTAAATAAAATGTAAATAGCAGAAGACTTGTTTGCTTCTGCCAAAGGTGAATAAATATTATGCTTAAAATCTCCTGTCACAAAACTAGCTTACTTGGTTTGTAGAAACCTTGTCCCACATATTGTGATACTCACTGGGAGACTTAAAAACAATTTCTAGCAGCACCTAAAAAAGGCCCTAAAATTAGCAGTCTTTGTGTTTGTGTTCAGCTTTTTGTGTGATGAGTGATAAACTGACTTTCGTAAGTTTTCTCAGGATAGAAGATAATGATTTGAGGTGTACAGCACTGAATATGATGAAGAAAATTCATTCTGATCTTAGCAGATGATCAGCTTATGCTTAACATCTTAGATGCACATCATTGTTTCTTAGTCATTGTGGCTTTCAAGTGCTAACACCAATCCCAAATCATCTACTCTTGGTGCAGTACCTCACATGATTATAATCTCAGCAACAGGAAATTCTGCAGCTTGTGTATCTACTCCTGTAACATATACTTCCTTTCAGTGCTTCTGTATTAACTCTTAGCACATCCCTAAGTTTAATTTTGATAGAATAAAGACTGCGTAATTCCCATTACAGAATGTGTTACTGCTTTCTGAGGAGCTAAAACAATGCCTGGTACACCATTTTTAAGGAGGCAGGTCTGATCTCATCTAGATAGGCAAGCATTGCTGTGTCGCTTGTCACATCCACTTAGTAGCTGATTTTACAGGACTCAGTGCACAGCAATAGGGGCTGGGATATCTTGGGTCAAAATCAGGTCAAGGGACTTGATCAGCTGCAGTTCATTTTAGAAGCAGGGACAGATGCAGTGCAGGATGTTCCAGGATGTGGAGGTCAAAACTGAAATTTTGGCTGGTAATAAGCCACAAAATACAATTCAATACAATTATTTGTAGTGAGTGGTCACTGTTTAATAGTTGACATTCACAAGAAGCTGGACTGTGTTGACAAATGAACATACATTGCATTTTACTACATTTTAGAATATCAAACTGCGAAATGTGATGCTGTGACTATTCTTTTGGCAAGAGTTCCATCTTAAGGACTTCTACCAGCCTTCTGTGTTTTGCCCCCTTTGCCTTAATTTTACTCTGTCTCTCATTCTAATATTATAGTTTGTGAAGCTTCAGTACATGCTGGAAAACCAGCCTCATATTGTTCTTATAGCCAAATGAAAGAGCTTCTAATTTTTGGAGACATTAACTTTTTTGAAGCTTATAGGTATGAATTTTCGGTAAAGGGACAAGTGTTTAGTCCAATTGCACTGAGGATGCACCTGAGGCTGCACACCTGGTCTGTACAGCTTTGCAGGTGTGCAGTGGAATAAAGAGTCAGCAATTCCCATGCACCCAGACAGACAAGATGTGATGCAAAGTAGCAACAGGGATCTTATTAACAGGGGAGCTGAACTCCTAAGCTTCCATCATAGATGAGTTTTTGTCTTCCCTTTCATTGCCAATTACTGGGCTTTTTGAATAATTTATTTATGATAATTTATCTCAGAAATAAACAGGACATACGTAATACCTGGATGAGTCTGTGTATTTAGAACGTTATTTCGGTGATATTCATGTTGCATTCCAGTCTCTACATTCATGGCACCTTTAGTCCTCTAAAATTGCCACAAGTGCCTGATTTTCTTACTTGTTGGGGACAAGGAGCAACTGTTGTTGTTTCTCTCCAGAATATTAAATTCCAATTAAAAGGTTTTCTAAACACTGAAGTTATGTGTTGGAGCTCTTATGTGAGTAGGGTCCAAAATTTTCTGGTAGGCAAATGTTTTTGCTTCCTGCAGCTATGCTTATTTTTCTGTGTTATTTAAAGCAGTTAAATATGTATATAAGGAAACAATATGTGCACTTTTTTTTTCCCCAGTAAATGTTCTTGGTACTACACAGTGTGCTAGACATCCCTAAACCTTTATTACTCCCAACACATGCAATGTCCTGCCTTGTCCCTTTTCCATTAGATCTTGCTGCTGAATTTTTCATGTATTTGAACTGGGCATTGGTTGTGTGAGCATGGGACAGGCCAGATCTGCTGGTGACTTTTACCTGCTTAGTGATTTATTTCCAAACTTATAGGTTGCTAATATTCAGAGACCATCCTGGTCTTTCTGCTTTTCTGAAGGTTAAAAGAAGGTTGTAGCTATAGGCTGAACACCAAGCTAGCTGATTTAGAAACATCTTGTGTAGCTCTCTGTAGCAATCTTTTTTGATTGAGATACGTGGCTCCATGCTGAGGTAATCTGCAGGGGAAGGAGAGCTTGTAGTAATGAGCTCTCCTTCCCCTGCTGATTATTATGTCCAATCCACAGGCAACTCTGCAGTATGTGGCTGCATAAAACATTTTTAAAGATAAGACTGATCAACACCTTTTTATGGCCATGAGTCCATAAGCAGGGTTCATGCCCTCTGAAATGCTGAAAACTACTTTTAAATTAATCTGCACTCCTGCTATAAAGGGAGTAGGTTTTATTACTTCATCTAATTGATGCTGTCTGTCCAGTTTTATAATTATTTCAGGTTTTAGTCTGTTTTCAGATGCAAGGTGTTACTGCAAGTTTTAAAAAATCATTTAGAGCTGTTTCTAATAGATGGAAAGTTTGCACTGCTAAAATAAAATATGGACAACTTCCTTAATTTCCTTAGTAAAATCTACTTGATATGACAGTTACGATGCTTAGGAATTCTTCAAAAATTTCTACTGTGTTTGGCTAAGTACCTTTTCATTCCATCTAATCAGGAGACACTTAAAGGAAGAAGAGAAAATGAATTGCCTCACCATTTTGAATTTAGCCACAAAAGATATTCCTGACAAGAACTACAAAAAAGGATTCATGTGCAGAAGCAAATGCATTTTCTAACCTTATGTTCTTTTACAACTAAAACATTACTTTTTGACTATTGATAAAACACTAATAGAAATGGCAAATGCAGTTTTCCTCTGAATTATCTTCCTCTCTGAGCATCTTCCCTGAGAGAAATGCCTCCATATCAGGGCTTTTCAGTGGGAAAGTTTTTTTGAGTTGTGTTTTGGGGCATTTTTTTGTCATTTTTGTTTGATTGTTTTCAGATTCTTAGTGTCTATATAGTCTGTGTTAGAGAAGGTACCAATAAATAGGTTGTTATATTACTGGGAAGAATATTATTAAAGAATTTAAGAAAGATGTCACTTCTAGCTGATACAGGTTGTTAAAACTGCTTTTGGCATTCTGCATAAGATTTAAAAATAGTTAACTTCTGGCTTGTTCTTCCTAATAATACTAATATTCCTAATATTACTTTAGTGACTTTCACTGCAGTAATAACTGTATGTTATTATTAGTTTTATATATTTTTTTCTTATATATGTATGTACTGAAATTTTAGGTACACCATATGTTTTGAGGTACACTATCTCATACTTTCTCCATTTTTGTTTGTTTGTTTGGGGTTTTTGTTTTGGGTTTTTTTGTTTGTTTGGTTTGGTTGTTTTCAGGAACTTTTTGCATATATTAGACTTAAATGCTCTCTTGATTGTCAAGTGTCTTGATTTTCCACTTCCTTATTTTCCCCATTAGCAGATACAGTATATTTTATTCACATGTGCCTACTTAGAGGAAGGGTTACATTTCCTTAGGCATACTTGCCAAGAGAAAGCAGTCTGCCATCAGTTATTTCTACAGTGTTAATCTAAGTGTACCCTGCAGTACTCCATATTGTGTTTTAATCATTAATAAAGATGTCAAACGAGCCTTATTTCTAATCCATCAGCAAGCAGAAATATAAAAAAATATAATTTAGGCCGATTTTATGCCTAATCTGAGCATGTCTTAATTATCAGAGTAGGTGTGAACTGAGGGCTTATATCCCCTTCGTTGCAAAGAAACTCAGTCAAACCCCCTGTAGCCTGTCCCGGCTGTCCCTGGGTGGCGCCCGGACCCACCGAACAGTCCCGCGGGTCCGAGCCCGGGGCTGACACCGGCACTGCGGCTTTCCAAAAACCCTCCTTCGGCCTGCCTTTAACTACTTGCTCTGCTTCTGGGAGACGGCGTTGGTTCCATACCAGGTCAGAAATAGTGATGATTAGAACAGGGACAACAGATTATGTTAGTAGCACGAACTGTCATTTAATTGAAAAATCAACTTGGAAGTATCTCATGTAGGTAACTGAATTACTTTACATTAAAGGGAGGGAAGATGCTGACACGCTGTGCACTGCAATAGTCTATGGCACAGTTGTGTTTTATTTAGGTAACAGA